ATTCACAAAGTCCACGTAGGCTTTTTTGCCTGGACCTGTTTGATGAAGTATTTCCCAGCAAGGAAGTTCTGAAAATGTTTGAAAAGGGAATATTCGGTTGGTGGAAGGTCTGGAGAATATGGCGGTTGAGGTAGAACTTCAACCCCAATTCGTTCAATTTATGGATAGTGATTTGTGAAACGTGTGGGCGGGCGTTGTCATGCAAAGGAATCGGACCCTTTCTTGATAAGTGTTGGCTGCATCTGACGAAATTTCGGTACAATTCGTCGATTTCTTCACAGTAGGGTTCTGCTGTGATGGTTTGGCCTGGTGATAAAAAGTTATAGTGTGGATGCCACACCAGCCGATGACCACCAAGCCGTGACCAGAATCTTTTTTTTCGTGAGGGTTCGGCTTTGAAAATTACCTCGGTGGTTCGTCGAAATCCAACCACTGTCCGGAACGTCTCCTGTTATCATACATGACCCATTTTTCATCACAGGTGACAATTCGGCCCAAAAACAGGTTTCTGCTGCGCAAAAGCAATGCAGAAGGACCTCGAGACGTGCTCGGATCTGCCGTCACTTCCGATTGTGGGGCACCCAATTGTCGAGTTTTTTCACCTTCCCAATGCGTTCCAGACCATCTGCAACAGTGGATTTGCCAAGGCCTAGCTCTTCTGCTATCTCTCGAACTGTTGGGATGGGTCAGCCTCCAAAATCCCCCTAAAATCCTCGTCAGATATTGCTTTAGGTCGACCGCTATGAGGTTCATCTTCAAGGCTGAAATCTCCAGAACGAAATTTTGAGCCATTGCCGCACAGTGCTTTCTCTAGCACTATTGGGCCCCACACCTGGTTAATTTGTTGAGCTGTTTCGATTGCGGATTGCCCCAATTTATAGTCGAAGAAAAATCGTCCGAAGTGCTCTTTTCACATGCTTGAAAAAAATCTTGAAAAAAGGGTTTATCAGCAATGATGGGCAATTATAACCATCAGATATACGCGCAGAATCTCTATCAGGATGTTGCTCACGAGAAGGAGGGCAGAATGAGTTTTTAATCAGCAGTGAATGTACAAAAAATAGGTGCACAAAACGCTGAGAACTTTCCGGACAACCTAATATAAAGTAATAGTAAAGGGTGTTGTCTAGTGGATTCAGTCTTAGAGGCAAATTGATTGTTCATTTCCTACAGTGCCCTTAGACGGAAAATAATGAGAAGGCTGTGACAAGTGCAAGACCAGAAATGGTATCTTTTCAAGCTATTGACTTAATCTTCACTCTTCTGAGTAGGCACTGCTCTTTGCCGCATGGACGTTTACTCGAGCATTCGAGGCTTTCGTACGCTCATTTGAGTGATAACGCTCGTCACTGATGTTCACTAAGTCTTAGGCCCAGTGGGATGGTTGACTGACCTGGTTGACCTTCATGGCAGTGATTTGTATGAGCTTTGTGGCCCACTCTATGTCATTAACATCTCATGAAGATTTGCTAGTCTCCGAAAATTGTGTTCAATATTGTGTGGACGCCTGCGTGAACCGTTTTATTTTTTTGGTTGTACAATGCTTCTGCTCAAAACTTTAAAAGCTTGAGAAGGGCTGACAAGATTGCGAAAAAAATAAAGTTTGAGCCAGATAATGGTCTAATTTGCTGCGGATGATGGGGGCGTGTCCGCGCGGTTGCGTCTTGCGCACGTGTCACCAAGCCACCAAATCTGTTTCCCAGCAGTAGTTGAGTCGGGTAAGCGACATCAAGGAACGCAAAACGACTGATACGAACGGGACAGTCCTATCGAAAGGAAAATGGGAAAGAAAACAACCATGTTTCGCACGGCGCGACGACGCCCTCATTACAGTCAGTGAACCAGGCCTACGACACCTTAGAAAAGCTTGTGTAAAATGATAAACACTGACACGTTCAAATTCCGTACTATTGTATCTGAATGCTGATAATGTTATGTGACGTTAGGGGAGTTCAATTTTTAACATGAGATATATTAATCGGTGCAGTAGAACTTATCTTTCCCTCAGTAATTCGTAAGCGGCAACTTTAGTTTTTTCGATAAGTCTCATAAGTTTGATTCTGTCCAACAGCCGTTTTCTAATCTCAAAAAACGTGACCGCGTCCGATCTGCTTTCCTTCTTTTTGTCATTTTGTTATTCATATTTATTTAGAAAGTCAAGATCGCTTTTCAGATAAATAAACACAATCGGAAATGGCAGTATGGTCGTTTCAGCGTGGCTCATCGCTTCTCGAAGTAGCCCCTCCTAGTTTTTTGATTATTCGACATATAGTTTGCCAGAGTATGAAGAATCAGAGATTCTCATCCAAGCGCCGCTTACGTGCAATGGGCATATCACATAGAGGTGAGTTAACTGTACCTGTGTTCCACTGTTTCTCGATAAAGCCCCCCCCCCTTAGCTTTGCTGGCGAGGTTTTATGGTGGTCAGTCAAAGTACCAGTCACATAAAGGCTAGGATCCACTGAACAAGGCTGTGTTAAATGAAGAGCCACGGTCTCCCTTTCTATGGATCGAAGGCAGCGTTCATATTACCCTGCAGTGACGCGCGTCGACGCACTGCGAGGTACGGCGACGAACTGTGCTGCCCTATAAAGCCGTTGTCGGTTACAACCACACCAGCGCTTCAAAGCTCTAGACACGAACAGCAGCAGGTGGCTGGCGCCGATAGATTTCCGTCTGGAAACGCTCGATCGTTGGGTGCCAGCCGCTTGTGTATCGAGAGAGTATGGAAGAATAGGATGGTAGATCTTGCTCAGTCACCAGAGTGGTATTGGTCAGCACTGACGTCTGCGTTTGCGTCTATAGCTCGGAGCGCTGTTGCAATCGTGGCGCGTCGTCGCGCGTTACAGTGCGTTACAGCGCTTCGACGCGCGTCATCGCGAAGTATGAACACTGCCTAACATTGGACTGATTTCAAAAATATCCGTAGCTCAAACCACAAAATGCACAACTGTGTGATGCACGCAGGTAGCAAAACGTGATAGTGGCGGGGAAGAGTGCGTTTGATGGTAGCTGACGGAAGGGATAGCATTTGATACGTTTTAATGAAAGGCACACAAAGGGAAGTAGTACACAAGGGCTGTAATCAAGACCGAGACATTGATGGTGACTGGTAGACATGAAATTTTAAGTAATTTTTTTGTTTTTTTCAGAGGAAGTGCATAGAATTATCAACTAATTCATGGTTTGTTCAGAGTATTCCTCGCAGAAAAGTGAACTTCTTGTCTTTGCAATGAAGAAGAAGATTTTCTGTGAAGGATCTCTGTTGGACGCCGTTCAGCGCTCCAATCTCTACTCCGATTGTAAGCATTTCGTCGACATGTCTCTGAAGCATGATGCAGGTGAAACTAAATGGGCCTATATATAAACATGTACAGTCAGCGATCATTTCTACGATTGTCCTACATGTGAGGTCGACAAGATGGTGTGATTTTGCGAACTCGGGTTAACGCTAATAAGCGTGTTATGGGGCATGTCTGGTTCCGTATAACCGAATTGCGGGGCACGCCCACTTACAGCTCGAATGCAGACGTCGTTCTTGGGCAAGGTAGTTCGCTCCGCAGGCGCAAAGACCCAAAAATATGTGAGAATGCTACTAGCTTATGACAAGGCGATGCCCCAGTATTTGCCCATACTACGGTCAAGGTTCATTTCCAGCGCGGCCACGGTGAAGCGATTGTTTCCTTACCAAATCTTCTATCCTTGATGGTGAGGGGCAGGTGTTAAGGGAAACTGGGCACGTTTTGCCGCTGCGGGAAATTTCTGCAAAACACGACGCTCCCTCCATTGCAAATTTCCATCTCTGGTACCACTTTCTTCCTAATGCCACTCTACTGCCATCTTCCTAAACTCCACCATTTTCCCGGCATTTTCCCCCGAATTCTCCTTTTTTCCTTCAGAAGCTCACCGTGGAGCGAGAGAGGTAGGAAGTATGTAGCGCTCATAAAACGAGAAAAATCGTGAAAAGTCAACAATCGGAAACATTCTCTCAAGGCAAAATCGGCCACACTCCCTCCAGTGACCAAGCAAGACCCTCCGCGCTGGAGATCCTTAGCAGAAGACGCTTCTTTCGAAAAAAGTTGATAGCAACAAAGGAGAGCTCACATTCGCAATGGTCGAAGCACGGAGTTCACGTCAGGACCAATTTGCAATGTGGTAATGGCGTAGTATGTCGAGCCGATTATGAGGCTGTGTCCAGACCTTGCAACGAGCGTCGACGCGTGACGATTGCAATAGCGCTCCAATGCTATAGACGGGAACTCAGCCGTGGACGGGTATGATCGGGACCGAGTGGTGGTGTTTTGGGAAAGTACATGTGAGTGAGGTATACCATAAAATGTGTCATAAAAGGTCTGCAATGCGGTCGATAGACAGCAACGTATAGGGTAGCTCGCTGCGGACGGTTGGCGTGTCAGGCGGGATGAGTTTGGCGCGGTGCCAAACTCGTTCTCCCCAGTTGTCGAGGTAAACATATGATAATGACTGTATCATATCGTTCGTATTACTCGTTTTCCACCACTTTTTGTCGCATGCGCGCTCCAACGAAGGCAGAGAACGGCTTTGACGGAGTGACACACTCATACTGCTGACACGCCCAACCGTCCGCAGCGAACTAGAGCATAGCTATTCTACAGAGCTTAATCACCTGGTACACTCCTATCCTCCCATACTCTCCGAAAACCGGGTGCTGGCACCGGTCGATACCCGTCTATGGCTGTACTTTCGTTCACAGCACTGAAGCGTGATTGCAGTGGTAGCAGCGCGTCGACGTGCCTTGTCGCGAAGTCTGAACACAACCTTGGGGAGTACTCTGCCACTCATGTGCATCTCTACAACAGGGGTTTCTTAAGAGCCCTAGCATGCGGGTGAATGACGGACTAATTGCAGAAAATCATTTTTGTAATATCAGGACGTGTCAGAAATGTTATGCGCTTCTGCAGCTGAGCTACGAAGTATCAGAATTCTCCCTAAAAAAGATATTGGCAACTTCAGAGACTACTCTTGTGCGTTGGGAGGCGCTGAGAGCTGAAGGACCAGTGACAACTGAACGTCTACGTGAATTCATTAAAGACTATTTTAATGAACCAGAAAACGAGCTCGTAGAGTGTGAACCAGACGACTGGGACCCTACGGTACGTTCAATTTACAGAACTCGATGTGTTGCAAAATTCTCGATTCGGGGCGATATCGTCGCAGTCAATCGGGCGGTACCAGAAGAAACGGAACGAAACCGCCTTCGGGTTCCTTTATCTACCACTAGTGACAGAGAGTGGTCGATTGAGAAGGAAAAGAACCAGTGGAGAGATCGGGAGTGAGCTAATTCCATCCTCTT